TCGTCGTCGTCGTCGTCGTCGTCGTGGTTTGTCGCCGTAGGTGATGTTTACCACGTGCAGTCTCCCATCAATGTTCACCGAGGAGTGACAACGGCGTTTCGAGCGTGCAAAAGCAATTACGTTTCGGTGCCAAGTTCTGAAAATCATCATCCTCTTGGCAAGAGGCCGTGCCTCGGAAGCCGACTTGTTAGAAAGGCATGCGGATACCGCCCTCGGTGATCCAGCATCTCGAAATTAACTCCTAGAAAAATCAATTTCCCTAATAATAAACGTCTACTCCATTTTTACCTCACGTCAGGCGCACGCAGGCCAAAATCCGCTTGAAATTGTTATGTAAAATATCCCATATAGCGCATACGTTGAATCACTGTCGTGGATAACTTCTCTATCGCTGTCCAACTTTAGAAAAACAAATTACGATAAATGAAAATCACGCGAGCAACGAAGATAACGAATTATTTTATACGACTGATATCGAGTGATATATCATCATTAAGTGTTTTACACTAACGCAACATTTCACTCGCATTTTTTTTTTTTTTATTTAATTTCGTTTTTAATCTAGATAATATGTATTATTGAATTCTGTTCTATTCTTTCTACTATTTAAATTTCATATTTTTTCACAGTATACCTCTTTGAGTAATAAATTAAGAGTATAATTTTCGTTATCCTAACTCGTTTTCTATACTGATAAATATTATACTCACGCAATATTTTTACTCGTTACGAAATATACTGCATGGTTTTCAGTTGACCAAGAAAACGATATTTTTAAATCTTATTAAATAAATGAAAATGAAACTTGTGTATTCTTGTAACAAAAATTTGCCACATAGAAATATTACAGAGGTATAATTGTTACGAAGTTCAAACAGTAATCGAATTTATGTAACAAAGTTCTCTGGTACGTGGCATAATTCTATTCTAATTCTTAAATATGCGACGTGGGTGGTAAGGCATCGTTAACAGTAGACTGTATTTCAATCCGAAAGCCATAAATCTAGCTGTGGACATTTTCTGCATGAGCGTGATATCTTTGTACGTTCGTTTCAGCTGTGTCGATATAGACTGATGAAATATTTGCATTGAACATACGAAAATATATGGAACATCCGTTCTACATGATTCGTATCGATGGGATTCTTCTTGCTATTTTGTAGTTCGTCATCTGGTTGGCCTCCTGCCATACTTCCTAATATAGTGCCGTCGCAACGGTTCTTCCATCACAGTTTTTTGCCCGTCATTATGAAATTTAACCTAATTCTCATTTCCACATGAGAAGAAGCATTGAATAATCAATTTTCTATTTCTATGATCGTATATGTATATATATAGAAAATATATATACATTATGTATAATATAATATATATGTATGTATATAAGATCATACAATTGTGTATGTATAAGATTGTAGGTTGTATGTGTGTATACGAATATACGAATAATATATTGATTTAAAAAAAATATCATATTAAGTGAAAGAGAACATATTAAATGGAGAGATTTGGAAAATAAATACCTGCGCTCAGAAATATTGATTTATAAGTATTTACAAATATGGTTTCTCATCTTTTGAAAAAAGATTATTCATTAAAAGTTCAATTGAAACTGTTACAACGATTTAAACGAAACGAAAGTCGTTCCATTCCGGAGGGAAATAGCAAATACTCGTTAGAATCGTCGGTAAGAAAGTTTGTTACTACAAAAGAAAAAAGTTGGTCGGTAAGAAAAACTTTCTGTCGGTAAATACGAAATTCAAAATTGCAAAGCTTCGCATCGCATGGAACGACGTTAAGCTACATTAAGCACTGATTGCAATTCTATAGAGGAATGAAAAATCGTGAAAGTGAACCGTGAGGTCTCGATAGATCATATTGTGGAACACTCGTATTAGAGGGGGCACGGCTCACTATCCATCCACAATATATACATTATATATATATATATATATATATACATATTATATACGCATATATACATATATACATATGCACGTCACAAGGTAGTGTGTTCGCGGATCGTATATGCAGAAGCGTTTAAATATTAATCACGTTACGGATGTTTTTACTGAACTGATGTGCGCATTTTAGACGGATAGACTATCGAGATGCCGCGGATGTACAAGCATAGCGGGAATGGAAATCCGTACTAAATACGGATCGCGCAACTTACAAATAAGCAGTGCCGATGGACGCGGCCATGTTTTCTGGTAGCAGAAATCTTACCCATTAATAATTCGTTAATCGTCGACCACGAAGTGGAGTGGACAGAATGCCGAAATGCGATGTGAAGACAAGGTATCTACCAGCTACGTTTGCCTGGACAGCCCTACTAAGCACCACGACACTCTTCTTCTGTTTTCCGTAAGTTCCGCACACATGTCTGTTTTCTTGTGAGTGGCCGCAGTGTTTGCGCTCCTGTTTTCATTCTTAAGAGTGTGCCAATTTTTTGGTAAAACGTGTGTGCACCATATATTACTTGGGTCTTCCAGCTGCCAATATTACGTGTTTCGATGGGGGACATGGGTACCTGCTCTTCAAGGAGTCATCACCTTTTTTGTTTTGGCAAATTTTACACTAGCAACATTCATGGATCCAGGTGTTATCCCAAAGGGTATGTTTATGCATGAAGTGAAAGTTTAATAAAAATTGAAATTGCGAAAGATAATTCTTAAAAAGGCATGGTTTTTTTTTTAAAGCACCTCCTGACGAGGATAGAGAAGATGATTTCCATGCTCCTTTATATAAAAATGTGGAAATCAATGGCATCACAGTTCGCATGAAATGGTGTGTTACGTGCAAGTTTTATAGACCTCCACGTTGTTCACACTGTAGCGTATGCAATCATTGTATCGAGGTATGTGCCCAATGTAATTTTAATGACTCTTAAAAGTTACGTGAAAATCTAATTTCTGTTTTGTATTTTTAGACATTTGATCATCACTGCCCATGGGTAAACAACTGTATCGGTAGGAGAAATTATAGGTTTTTCTTTTTCTTTCTCCTGTCACTTAGTTTTCATATGCTCAGTATATTTGGACTTTGCCTATATTTTGTACTGGAACGTAAGCAACAGTTGGGTGAAGTGGACACTATCGTGGCGTATCCTTTTTTGTTGAATCAATGATTACAATTTCATGAGATGCTGCAATTTATATTTAATATTATCTCTTCGTTGTAACATATGATCATACCTTATAATCCTTAAATTTAAAATAGACTTGTACTTATGGGTGTGGTTATACTTCTGTTCATTCCAATCTTTGGACTGACTGGCTTTCATG